TTCCCTAGTTTACTGCAGGCTATCCTGCAAATTAAGCACTAGGCCATCTAATAATTAGTTCTACTAACAGTTAACATTCGTATAGTGCTTTGCTCTTTACAAAGTGCTATACAAACGTTATTGTATTTGTAAAAGCTCAATAGTAATTAACCACCGCTCAGGGTGGATAGCCTGACTCGGTGGGGCTGTGAGGATTGCAATAGCACAAAGTACCACTAGATGGCAGCAAAATGTAGGTGATAGGACCAGACACACTGAGGAGCCCAGATGCTTGGTTCTCTCAGCAGGGACATGCCCATTAAATCAAAGAAGCATGGTGAATTCGCTCTGGGTGAATTCTATCACTTGAGGTAGCACGCTCCCAGATCTATTAACTACCTCCTAGTAATGCTTCCACTATTTCACTTGAGGGAGGACTGCCCTAGACTCCTGCAATCTCATTAGACAAGGGAATACTTTCTTTGTGCCGTGAGTCAGGTGTTCAGGCCTGAGCCTAGTTAGAGTCTATCTCCCACCCCAACCCCCTTTTTTTTAATGGTGAGCATGACACTCATGTCAGAAAAAAAATAAACAGCATACTGTCAAGTGTCAAATTGCTTTCTTTCTATTTTTAAAAATATTTATTTTATTTCACCCATTCCCCTATCTGCCTCCCCTTTGGCAATCGTCAGCTTGTTCTCTATACCTATGGGTGTGTTTCTGTATTGTTTTGTTTACTCATTTGTTCTGTTTTTTTNAAAAGCAAATGCCTTTCTGATCTGCAGTTTCTTAAGCTTTTTCCCGGCCATCTTTTAAAGTTACATTTGGCTTGGGCATAATTCTAAACTCTTCATTTAACCTTCCTCCAGAAATTGCAGCTCTTCTTAGGAAGTACCTTCTAGTGTTGCTGACTCAGGCTTTCGCATTCACTGAAGGCTCTTATCTTATAGGCCACGTTTCAGTCGCAGTTGATTTAAACAGCTGCACAATTGGAAAACCTTATGGTCTAATATATAGGTTGTTTGCCACTCAGATTTTCTCCTTATCCCAGCTGACAGTGAGGAAGAATGTAATTTCAGGGTTACCAAAATGTGAGAAGAAGAAAATAAGCAGCAACAGGAAAACAAAAGACAGGGAAGGGAAAGAACTGGAACCCCGTCTCCTACCTCCTGAAATGTTCTGCTCTGGCCCCCACTGTCGTCAAGGTATGCGGACAGCTTCTGAAGTGATGCTGCCACGTGAACGCGCGACTCCACCTGGGTGCTGTGGCTCATGAGGGACAGAACAAGTCCAACTCCCAATATACAGCCCGTGCTTGGATGCCAAAAAAAAGATCAGGTGTTAGAATCACAGGAAATCCATGCTATCGCTCCTAACTCATCATAGGAGTTCACAGTGCAATTTGAGGTGAGATGGCTGGATTCTAATTCTGCCGCCCGCTCTGCCGGTGTGTCTCCTGAGTCACCACAAGTACATCCACCTGCCCCTCAAAAGGGAAGCTTTATGTCAAAACAGGTGTCCGTGTCCCATGCTAGAAAAACAAAACCATGAAACAGCTTGACTTGAACTCTACGGTGAGGAGAGAAGGAGGTGTAAAAAGGAGTTAAACCAGCTCTATCTCTGCGCTTAGAGAAATGCTGGGGTCCTCTGTCCACCTCCAAACCCCCACCCATGTTAAGTGTACTATGATTAACTGCATAAGGAGTGAAGACAAAATTTCAGGCTACGAGCTGAGGCCATCTGACTAATAACAGGGTGGATAAATGCAAGGCATGGTGAAGAGGTCCCGCTAAGAGCCCCGTGTTTCCTAGTCAACTTCGATGAGTGGAATTTCTTTCTTAAAGAAACTGTGTATTTGTCTGTGCACAATGACATTAATCCTGTTCTCCCCTCTGATCCCTCGGAGAACCACTGGGTCAGAAGAGAAACTGGACAAATGACAGGCTTGTCAAAAGTTAGTCCATGTGACATTTCAATTGGAACCTTGGACTTTGTGCCCCAATTCTCCTGAAAGAATACCAATCCATTTAAAGAAACAAATTGTTCTTCCAGAAAACTTATAGTTAGTATGATAAGATACCTTTGGAGTGATTTTTTTTTACCCTTTTTTTATTTTATTTTAAAGTTTTTGTCTTCATGGTTGTTTTTCAAATTGAGGGAATGTTGAGTTTTTCAGAAATCGTCCTCACTCTGCTTTGGCTTGCTTCTCGCCATCATATCTGCTGTTTAAGAAGACATTCCAGGGCACTTCTCCAATAACATATTCCAATGCCCGTATGTTATTTTGCTCTTATATAGCATCCATCTCCTTGGCTGGCATCAAGAACCTTTACATGGCTGCACGAACATGCTAGTTACTTTCCCCAACACCTCTGTGCAAACAAAGCATCCACATCTGATAAGAGACACCCCAAAGGATGGAGAGGCTACAGGGTTTGCTCAAGGCCAGGCAGAGAATTTCCAGCAGAGCATGGCCAGAAGATGGGGTTTTCTTATTCCCAGACTTCTGTTCCATCTGCCAAGACCCAGGCCCCTCTTGGTGCCCTGCATGATGCCATGATGGAATGCTGACGAGAAGGCAACTGAGCTCAAGTGTGTTTTCCTAGGTTCCACTGCATAATAGTCTGGCATTAGAAAATCCTTTGTAGAGAAGCTACTGCAGTAATAATCCATCATTAGTCAGGCAGAAATGCTGTTACAGCTTACATGAACTTAACGAGCTCCACCAGCACAATGCATTTCCAACCAGTTAAATCGGCATCTAACATCTGAACATTGCACACTTTTGAGACAAAACACATTTCTGAAAGGAGAGGCTGCTCTTCACTAGTATGGATTTAAGTCTTTCTTTTCATTTAGAAGCTACAGGCAAGTTTTCCTGGCTATCTTTCTGGCTATATATTGATGCATATAAAATTTTGATAGAATGAGATCAAAGATAAACAAAATGTGATTAATACTTGGAAAAAACTGACGTTTTCTCCCTCTTTGACTAGTTGACTGCTACTTATGCTTAAGATTTCCAATGCTCCTTCCTCAGAGATACCTTCCCTGGCCCAGCAGGGAACCTCTTTAGTCCTCTCCCATAGCACCCTGGACTAATTTACTTCAGACAATTTTAATTATAAACTCTGATGAGGGTTATGTGGGGGATTGTTTAATTACCATCCACCTCCTTCACTAGCGTGCAAGCATCATGAGGGTGGGTACCTCTTCTATCCTTTCCCT